CTTTTTGTCAAGAGGCAGGGAAATGCAGCACAATAAATACAGAGAACAATGCTCTCAGCATCCATCAATCAGCTAATGTGGGAGCATCCAAGCTGAAGCCCACAGGAATTGCTCATCCTTAGTATAAATAATGCTGAAAACTTTTGGGGGCTTGTCTAAGATCAGTTCCAGGAATATGGATAAAATCATGTCATCTACTAGGTAATAGTTCCCTTCTTTTTATTGTCAGGTGGAATATTATAAATGTTAATAGAGTCACATGTATGTTTGTCAAGATGTAATCTGAGGTTTATTCTGTACTTTCCTGCTTGCACATTTTGAAGCCTCACACACTGGGAATAGAGGAGGGTTCATTTTGTTTATGTAGGAAAGCGATTATTATAACCAGTTTCTATGACATGGATCATCACATTAAGCACTGGTCATCTTTCTCCAGTGCCAGGGATATTGTCTTTTGGCTGGTCGGTGTAATAATTGCTGCACAGCACTGAGTAACAGCTAACAAATGCTGCTCCTGTTACTTAATGGCATAAATGAAATAATAGTGGTTTAGAATACTCTCCAACCAGTTTTGTTATTCCCTGTTAAACTGCTAAAGAAGTATGGCATCAACATATTTGAGGGAAGCTGAGGGTTTGCAAAAACACTAAAAATCATCTGAGGTAATGAATTGCATCTTCTCATATCCTGTGAGAATCAAGCTACATTCTCTTTATATGTTCCATAGTTTTTTTTTTTCCTGTGCTTCAGGAAATCATGTACAGAAAGCAATATTACCGATTTCTAGTAAATGAAAGGCTTCTACAAGAGGTGGATTCAATCCCATTCTTATAGCATAGCTGTTCTGCCTATTACACATATTGCTTGGTTCAAAATGAAACAAAACTCAATAGAATCAGTTACTGTACAACTTGATAATTATTTACAGCAGCCTTCCACAAACTGGTACCTTCAAATCAGGGGTGAAATGCTCCCGGTTTGAACCGGGTCACCTGATCCAGCAGCGATGGCTGCGGGTGGTTCAGAGAACCGGTAGCAAAAATCCCTGCCCCCCCCATGCCCAACTAAGCCGCGCAATCATCAGAGGCTGTTTTTTTTATTTTTAAAAGCATTTTTTCTACAACCACTTAGGCCGAAAAAATTCTGTTAAAAGTAAAAAAAAAAAAGCCTCTGATGATCGTGCGGCTCAGCTGGGATCGTCAGAGACTTTTAAAAGCATTTTTTTACAACCTCTTCTGCCAAAGAGGTTGTAGGGAAAAAAATGCTTTTAAAAGCCTCTGACAATCCCAGCTGAGTTGCTTGATTGTCAGAGGCTTTTAAAAGCAATTTTTTTTCTGCAACCTCTTCGGCTGAAGAGGTTGTAGAAAAAATGCTTTTGAAAGTAAAAAAAAAAAAAAAGTTGGCCACGCCCACCCAGTCACATTAACCCCTCACACCAAGCCACGCCCACAGAACTGGTAATAACAAATGTTACATTTCACCACTGCTTCAAATATTGTACTTTAGTTTAGGGGTGAAATTCACTTACCTTCCCTACCAGTTTGTAAATGTGTGTGCACGGTGTTCTTGCTTCGCTCGCTCGTGCTGTTTTCCATGTATGCACAAAGCCTTCTGCACATGTGCAAAGCCTTCTGGCCATGTGCAGAGGCTTAAAATCATCGCAAAAAAGCAATGTCATGACGTCCGCGTGGGTGGCCGGAGCTTCCCGCAGCTGCCACTACCGGTTCGCCCGAGCTGGATAGAACCGGATTAATTTCACCCCTGCTTTAGTTCCCGTAATCCTTAGCTATCATAGACAATGGCCATGGTGTTTATGGACCTTGGTGTTTGAAGCAGTGGTGGGTTGCTACCGGTTCACACTGGATCAGACGAACCGATAGTGGCAGCGGTGGGAGGCTCAGCCCACCTGCCCAGATACTTCTGCGCATGTGCAGAAGCGCCCCGCGTGCCCGCACCCATGAACAAACTGGTAGTGATGGGATTTGGAACCCACACTGGGCTTGAAGGCCAATATGTTTCATTTATCTTTTGTTGTTATAGTTGCATACCTGAACTAAATAGAACAAAGCATAGGAGTACAGTGTAATTTTGGGAAATAAATGAGTCAAGGTTTTTCAGAATAAAGTTAATTCATCAGAAATAATATTGTGTACCTAGTAGGCCTCAGAAAGTGTCTTCAAAATTGATTGGGCATCTATTTTGTGTGTGTGCATGTCAGTGTGTTGGTATTGTAAGACATTTCAGCACTCTTTAACTCATATGATTTAGTCTAGACCAGTTATAAATCCATTTTAGTCTCAGATGAATTGCCTTAGCCTACATTAATACAAAGTTGAAATAAATATAATAGTAAAGTATGGAAGTATGATATTAAATTACATTTCCCAAATATGGAATGCATTATGAAAAGCTTTTATTTACTTATTAATTATGTTTTGATGCTGCCACAATTAATAAAAACACTTAGCATAAACTGTCTTACATAAAACAAGTATAAGTTAAAATATCCCTAATGAGAATAAAACAGCCATTGCAACCACACAGAAAGAAAAACTGTACAATTCTGTTTGGCGCTTAGTCTCTATCCTTAGAACATCACAGGGGCGAACTACCTTACACCAGCTGACTAGCAGCGCTTGGGTTGCTGGCTCTTCCAGGTGCCTTCATCAGTCTCATTTTGCCTTATCTCATGTTGCGTTGCCTCACTTCTGGCCAGCATTCCAGCATTGGCTTCTGCTCTCTGTGCATACACGAACGCAGCTAGCTTTTCCCACCAAAGTGGTACCCATTTATCTACTTGCAGTGTTGCTTGCTGAAAGTGCTAGGTGGGCAGGAGCTAGGGAACAAACGACAGGAACCAGGCTCAAACTTCTGGAGCCTAGACCATTTCTAGCTGGTGGTTCCAGTATCATTAAGCCAATTGATCAATCAGAGCTGGAAGGTACCTTGGAGGTCTTCTAGTCCAGCTCCCTGCTCAAGCAGAAGACTCTATACCATTTCAGACAAGTGACTTTCCAGTCTCTTAAAAACTTCCAGTGATGAAGCACACATAACTTCTGAAGGCAAGCTGTTCCACTGGTTAATTGTCCTCACTGTTAGTAAGTTTGTCCTTAATTCTAGGTTGCTTCTCTCCTTGATTAGTTTCCATCCATTGTTTCTTGTCCTGCCCTCTGGTGCTTTGGAAAATAAATAGACACCCCCCCTCCAAACAGAATGAACTAGCAATTAAGGTTGTCAGGACTGCATTGTGTCAATCGTGTAGATTTCCCTTGTATGCTAAATAATATTGAACCTGGGACTCGGAGAATAATTATGTACACGGAAAGAAATTTGTATTAAGAATGGATACTGTTTGGGTAAACTTTTCTAAAAATGAAAGGATGAATTTAGAGTTAATGATAAGAGTAATGATTGAATTAATCCTTTATCAACAACAAATGGATGCTATCCTATTTGGTTGATTGAAATTTATAGGCTTGGCATGCACCAGGTTCTTTCGATTAAATGATGCTACCTATCAGGAGCCTGGAAGCACCATTTTCTTGGTAGCAGAGCTCTTCTCCCTGGAATGAACTCCTTCTAAGATCTGAATAGCTCCCAGTGTTGTATTGTTTATTATTATATTGTTTATTATTACTTTATTTTACTTATTTTATACGTCTTATTGTGTTCTCATGTTTTAGTTGTTGTCAGTCTCCCAGAGTCTTTGAAAACTGGGCACTATGCAAATTGCTTGCCTACAGAAACACACTGTTTAGAATGAATTCTTTTGCTGTTTATTTCCAATCACTGTAGTGAATAGAACATAGAGATAAAAATAGAATAACTTTATTATCACTTTAAATGTACACTAATCGGCATACATTAAAATGAAATTGTGTTGCATGCAGCTCTCAAATGATCACCACCTCCAATATGCACTGCATAAACATGACAAAATAAATAATTAAATAGAAAATTATGCATATACCCACATACCTACATATATTATATGACACAGAGAAACAACACCATCTAGGTCGGATGTAGGTATGTACATGGTGAGAAAAAATTAATCTTGTGAGTTTACCAGATGGATGGCATAGGGAACAAAGCTGTTACAGAATCTGGTAGTCCTGCTAGAAATACTTTGAAACCTCCTCTCAGAAGGGAGCAACAGAAACAGACCTTAAAGTCAGTGTGTGGGGTCTCTAACAGTGCTTTGAGCTCTAAGCACATGGCACTTATAAGCAGTATCCTGAATAACAGGGAGTGAGCTTCATATAATCTTCTTGGCTGTCCTTACCACTCTCTGTATGGATCGTCTATCTGAGGCACTGCTGCCACCAATGACCAAACAGTCATTATTATTATTACTGTATTTTTATTCTGGTTGCTGTTTATATTTCACTATGTTAATTAAATCAGCTTATTGTTGTTTGTGTTCCATTTTTAAAATAAATCATAATATCAGCCGACTTTCAGCTTCCCCATGATATCTTTAGAGACAGAAGTCTTTTATTTAATCTTTCTTTTTAGTTACATCTTCCTCCCTCTCTGTTTTTTTTTTTTTTAATTCACTTTCTTTTGAATCGATGCCTTTTAAACAGAAAGGTCTGTTGGGAAAGTAGATGGAAAAGAAAGGTGGCGATAATATTTCAGTTTTTATACCGATATCAAGATTTGCTTTGGAAAGTTTATAGTGTAAATAGCCCATGAGATTGAAGGCTCTTAAACAGTGGAATCCCAATTTTGTGGCAGTACTTTGACATTTTTTTAAAATTCCAGCTTTATTACTTTTATATGTAACTCAAGGTTGTGAACGTACTTAATATTCCTTCCTCCGCCTATTCTCCCCATAACAATAGGTGAAGTGTGTTGGTTTTAGAGAGAATGACTGGCCAAAAATCAGCCAAAGAGCTTTCATGCCTAAAGCAGGACTAAAACCCACAGTCTCCTGGTTTCTATGCAGCACCTTAAACACTATATCTTCTTGTTTCCTTCCCACTTATTCCCAACAGGGCAATGCACTATTGCTTATGCTTGCTGATGTAGAGTCTACTGTTCAATCCATATTTATATCAGTTGGACTTGAGGAAAAGAAGAAATATTTAACTTGAAAGTCAAAATTATCTGCTCCCAAGGTTAAGGTAAGAGATGGCAGCTCAACTTTTGCTCTTAGGCTTTTAAAGATTGTCCTGTTTATGCTGATGCATCTTCATCACATAAAATGCAACTGCTTGTAAACCTTTTAGGTCTACACCCACAGCCAGAAAAAAAAAAAAAGGACAAGTACAGATATGTGTTTATGAAACATACATCACTGTTCATTTATATAAACAGCAACTTTTCAATAAAAGGTACAGTAAAGGTTTCCCTATCCACTCATATCTAATTCTAGGGTGCGGTGCTCCTCTCTGTTTTTTAGCCAAGGGAGCCACTGTTAACCAAAGACATTTTTGTGGACATGTGGCGAGCATGGCTATATACCCAAAGTGCACGGAACACTGTTACTTTCTCACAGAAGTGATATCTATTTATCTACTCTCATTTGCATGCTTTCGGATTGCTAGGAGGGCAGGAGCTGGGGCAGGAATGGGAGTTCACCTTGTTTTGCGGTGCTTGGGTTTCCAGCGGACAAGCTCAGTGTCTTTAATTAAAAAGTGCTACATTTTGCTTACCTAACATCAGACTGATCTGATGGGTTTTGTACTGGAGTAATTTATTGAAATAATTTATTTAATGAATTGTGTGGTATTTTTTTTTTAATTTGATTTATATACCGCCCTTCTCTGGAGACTGTACTACCAAGGCTCCTTGGTGGTATTTGTCATTATACATGGCTTCCTCTATTTTCAATCTTTTTTTCCCTGACACTTCATTTCTGACACATTGGCGCAGTGGTTAGAGTGCAGACAGTCAAGTTTCTACTGACTGCCAGCTGCCTGCAATTTGGCAGTTCAAATCTCACTAGGCTCAGAATTGATTCAGCCTTCCATCCTTCCAAGGTGGGTAAAATGAGGACCCAAATTGTTGGGGGCAATATGCTGATTATGTAAGCTGCTTAGAGAGGGCTGTAAAGCACTGTGAAGTGGTATATACTATAAGTCTAAATGCTATTGCTATTCCTTTTTCTTTTTGCCAGAAAGAGACAGACTTGGTAGATATCTGAACAGACCTACTAGATTTTAAATGAGACCAAAGATCACATGAAATTAGATCTAGGGTCACATGTGGTTTATCAGATACAAATAGTTCTCTGGAATATGAGCATATCTTTAAAAAATAGTCATTTTAACTGTGTGGAAAACTCAAGGGGAACAATGAAGTTCCATTAAGCTGTGCTAGATTTCTTATTCTTTTGTTCCTTCTTTCCATGTCTATAATTATCTATTATGAAATGTATTGGTTAACCACAGCAAAAATGTTTTCTATATTATTTCTTCTTGATTTTTCCTGGGATTCTCCCTTGGGAATTTTCCTTGTAGATAATATTTTCTGTCAGTGTAGAAGCATTAATGCTGCTGTTTTCAACAAAGGGAAACAGTAGGAGTTTGCTATCTAATATTTACATGCATAGATTTTTTAGCATTTTTAATGGCAAAATTGTAGTACTGCTTTAAGATGCCTAAAGGCTAGGCATTAAACAAAATGGCGTTTTCTAGTTTTTTTTCTCAACAATGATTCTGTAACAAGTTACCTCTAGCAGCAGAGGGAGCAAATTTTGACTTTTATCAAACACGTATTTGATACTGGTGTCTTCACATTTGTTTTGTTATTGCTGAAAAATGTATTCTGTTAATATATGGCTTGTCTTAAAAGAATAATGTGAACCTCAAAAGCAGTGGTGAAATCCAATTTTTATTACTAACGGTTCTGGGGGCGTGGCTTGGTGGGCGTTGTAGGGGAAGGATACTCCAAAATCTCCATTCCCACCCCACTCCAGGGGAAGGATACTGCAAAATCCCCATTCCCACCTCACTCCAGCGGAAGGATACTGCAAAATCCCCATTCCCACCCCATTCTGGGGCTAGCCAGAGGTGGCATTTGCCAGTTCTCTGAACTGCTCAAAATTTCCTCTACCAGTTGTCCAGAACCTGTCAGAACTTGCTGGATTTCACCCCTGCTCAAAAGGTATTTGGGAAAAGAGATCAGTTTTACCAATCTTATTTTCCTGACCATTTCCAACAGGGAAAGCATCCAGCACATTTTCTTTCTTTCAGCTGGTCCATGTGCAAATTGTGGGTTGTGTGTGTCTGGGGTGGGGGGTGGGGGGTGGGGGAATCAACCACCCAAGTCGGAAAAATAGCCAGGACACGTGAATGAGACTTGGTACAAATTTGCACTGAGAGTGAAAAAGCCCCTTCATTTCTAAAAGCTACAGATCAATTGATCATGTGGCTGTTTGTGATGCGCTACTCCAACCGCACAGCAGGCTCCATGGGAGTGCTGTGGCCATCTTCTCTGCTAGATGAATGATTTCTTTCTTTCTTTATTTCTTTCTTTCTGTGTTATGGCTCTTAAAATAATTGGCAATTTCAGAGATGTTTAAAAAGGATCCATGAGTTCCCTAAAGCAAGCCATGAACATTTAAAGAATCTAAGTGAAGGCATGTTTTAAGTAAGGAGATCTTTGGGGATAAAGACTAAAAGGAAAAGTAATATTTTAAAAAATAATAATTGAAATGTATCATGCCCAAAAAATTCTACTGCCTTAGAATGAGCCTGGAATGACAGTAATTTGAATAATTTCCTATTATGAAAATGCATTTGTGATTGAGCAGTGTAGAAATATCTCAGTAAAACAATTGATATTGTCAAAATAGAATTTGTAAACTAAAATCAGTTCCAAATCAAACACTTTTGCTTTTGGTGGGAGTGAAGGGTAGCCATATAAAGCTCTCCCATTAAAGTAAATGAAATTTTAAAATAATAATTTTGAGTAGACTCATGCCCATAGTTTGATGCAATTTTAAGCTCATTAATGCTAAAGCTGTGAAGTATAGGCAGGCTTTGTGTATGGAAGTTGAAATGGAGATACATCACTTCAGTAGTCTAAAAGGTGCTTTTTAAAGAGGCAGCTGGACTTTCTGTTTTTTCGTTGAAGACACTTTGTTTCTCATCCAAGAAGCTTCTTCAGGTCTAACTGGATGGTGGGGAATGGAGTGACCATCCAGCCAAAACTGATGAAACTTATTGGATGAGAAGCGAAACGTCTTCAAAGAAAAAACAGAAAGTCCAATTGCCTCTTGAAAAAAGCATCTTTGGGACAATTGAAGTGATGTATCTCCATTTCAGCCATGACCTGGATGACTGAGAATCTCCATAGACATCACTTTAGTACTTGGCTTATCCAATCTAGTTACAAATATTGTATATTCTAAAATACAGTTAGTCCTTGATTTATGGCCACAATTGGGACCAGAACTTCCATTGCTAAGTAATAAAATTGTTGTGAGTTATCATGTGACTGTGCCCAATTTTACTACCTTTTTTCGCTGTTGTTCAGCGAATCACACAATTGTTAAGCAAATCACACAGTTGTTAAGGAAACCCAACTTCCCTCATTGATTTTGCTTGTTGGAAACCAGCTGGGAAGATCACAAATGGTGACCACATAACCGGATGCTTCAACCATCATAAATACATGCTGATTGCCAAGCATTTGAATCACAATCGCATGACTGTGAGGATGCTGTGACTGTCATAAGTGTGACGACCAGTCACAAGTTACTTTTTACAGTGTTACCTTAATTTCAAATGGACGCTAAGCAAAATGGTCATAACTTGAGAACTATTGTAGGATTCCCTAACTTTTTCTCCATATAGATTGGGACTATAATTTGTAGAATTTGGGCTTAATCAAAGCCTGTTGTCCACTTTCCGTGAATTGCAAGGTTAATGCACTTAGAAGCCACCAGTTTGGGGAAGGCTAATCAAAACCTATAGCTACTACACTTCCTGACAAAGTCAGTGAATGTTTCTGGAGTCTGTACTTAAACAGAGAAACATATAGATGAAACTATCTTGAGTTAATGTCCATTAAATGCTACAGTCCAATCTTAAGAGATGTCCATTAAATGCTACAATCCAATCGTTCTATTCAGTCTTGAACAATAATGATTTACCTCCTTTAATTTTACAGTGCATTATTAGTGTTCAACATCAGGCTCATACATCTTGTAGAATGATCAAAAGTAGTTTGATGTTTGCTTCAATTTTGTGCCCTTGTATTCAATTTAAGATAATTAGAAAAGATCATTTCTAATAAAGCATGTATAGCAGCCTTATGATTATGTAGCTCCGGTAATACACAAATGTTCTTTTTGTACTGGAACTTTCACTTTTCTTCTCTGGGTCATGCTTATCCATCTGTTCTGGGAGTGGCTAGTGGTTTTTATAAAATTAATTCTTTGATTAGGAATAGATCATGGTGCTGTGGACATGGCCTGGCCCTGAAACTGTCTCATTTCATTTGGAACACTTTGTCTAGAAGAACACAAACTGTTTCTGATTTAGAGGAACAACTTCCAAGGAATTGTCAGATCATGAAAGAGGGATGGGGTGTTCTTGCATGGTCCAGAGAATAGGTATTCTAAATTGCCCCAGCATGTTCAATTCCCAGAATGTTAGATTTGTACACATATTTGGTAGGTAGAGAAAATACGGATCATGGAGGTTTTATGATTTGCTTTAGCGAAGTGAAGAGGCCACCTGATTTGCCTCAGTGAAATAACTGGGCTTGCTTCGAACAGTTTTTATTATAAGATTATACTAATACAGAGGTGTCAAACTGGCATCCAGTGGGCCAGATACATCACGCACAGGCCATGCCCACCCCAGCTCCTCAAAGGCAAAAAACGTCATGATACATCACAATATGTCATGTGACGCGATCGAGTTTGACACCCGTGTACTAATAGAATCTTACAAGTTTAAATGCAGAGAGAGAGAGAGAGAGAGAGAGAGAGAGAGAGAGAGAGAGAGAGATGCCTCTACTTTCCAGAGAATATCCATCTCTTCTGAGTGCTTTCTCTACCTCCGTTCCTTCTGTGAGCCAAGATATCTCTTCTCCAATCATTGCCCTGGTTGTGTCTCTTCCTCCTATTTCCCAAAGTTATTCATACAGGCTATTAAACAGTCCAACTTGA